CCAAAGCACATAAACATTTGTCATCTTTGAATAATTGAATTAATGTGTTATTGTTTGAATGTATAATTCATAACATAGGAAACTTTGTCTCTGTCCTGCCACCGAAACGGAAGTAATAAAAAGCTGCAATCTCGGATTTTTTTAGAAATTACTCCAGCAAGGACAATAAAGAATATCCTGTTTGCAGAAAGCGTTTCCAGCTGACTCCGGGATTTAAGAGAGAAGCCTCAGCCTCGCGGTCCGTATTTCACGGAGTTCGCGGAGGGTGCCTTCCTATCAGCACAACACCCCCCCCCCTCCTCCAATTTTCCCCTATTGATCGGGGACGAGAGGCGCTGCGGGGCAGGGTGCGCGGTTCCCTCCCCGCGGGGCCGGCACGGAGCGCGGCCGGGCAGCAGCGGCGCTGCGGGCGGAGCGGGGCGGCCCTGCGCGCCCGCGGTAGCCTCGCCGTCACACGAGGCGCGGCACGATTTACGACCCCTCTTGAAAAGAAGTTGAGGGCCTCTCGGCGGCGCCGGCAGCGGGAAGCAGATGCCCTGACAGCCGCGTTGTTCCGCCCCGCGCCTCTCCGCACCTCTCCGCGCCCACCGGCAGCCTCTTCTCCGCCGCTCCGCGCCCCGCGTCCCCGCTCCCTGGGAACCAAAGGTCACCCGCTCCGGCTGCCGGCCGCGGCCGGGCTGCGAGCAGGAAGCGGCGTGCCCTATTTGTCACGGGTTTGACAGCTAAGTTCATTAAGGCTGAAATAAGAAGGAATAAAAGCAAAAAACCTTTACGTACCGGGCGGCTGTTTTTTTTTTCGGCAGCTTGCACGGAGCTAGGTGTGCGGAGAGAGGGGCTGCGCCCTTTGTATATTATATTCTTGGGATCTCTTCAGTTTTCAAGTCTGATAGAGTCCTTTGCTTGGCAGATTAATGACGACTCCGTGTTTCTTAAGGGACGTGCTGAATTAATTATTTCGAGAATCACGTGGTCAGGACTTGTAGAAATCTATTCTTATCATCTTCCTCGCACTTTGAAATTCTGCCTGTTATGACTGTTCCTAGCACGATTATTTTGGTCTCTGGGCTTGCAAAAGAAAAAAAGGGGAAGAAAAAAAAAAAAAAAAAAAAAAAAAAAGAAGAAAGACGAAGGGGGGGGGGGGGGAAGGAAGAAATCAGGGGAAAGGGCCGACCAACATGGCCGTTGGCAGCGGTGCGGCTCCGCGTGGAGAGATCCCTATTTACTGTACTGTACAGTGCGCGGGGTGTGCTACGGACTGCGCCTCGCCTCTCCATTCTTACCTTAACGACTAGCGGCCATACAGCACGCAGAGCCGTATTGATGTATCGGGGTAACAGGAGGAGCCATTAAACAGCAGAGAGAAAGTATAATCGCTGAATGGGTCTCGGCGCTTAACGCGGGGCTGTGGATGCGCGGCTCTCGCTGCCCCGAGGGCGCACGCGGGCCGCGCAGTGCTTCTCGCCCCTCTACTTGGGATGCGGCTCTTTGGCCCCGTGCCCTGACCGCGCTCCGAGGGGCCGAGTCCTCCCTGGCAGCCCTCCTGGCACCAGCCCAGGGGATGCGGCGTTGGCTGAGGTTCTTATGCGGGGTTGGAATATAATGGTGTCTGCCCTGAGTGCAGGGGGCAGTCTAAACTCTCCGAGCCTGTGTTTCTGTGTGATCTTTCGCTCGTGTCAGGCCAACGAGTGAAACTGAAAGCCGCTCACTGCGCTGTATTTTCAGCTTGGCGTTGCGCCGTATTTTCAGCTTGACGTCGCGCTTCCCGGAGCCACACGTCTGTGTGGGGACAGAGGTGGCTTCAGGTGGGGCTCCCGCTCCCACCACACACGCACATACCCGGCAGTCGTTCTAGGAGGGCTTGTTAAATGCAAAGCAGCAGCAAATGGGTGGCAGGCGCTTTTAACTGCAGCCTCAATGTAAATACAGGCTCCAGCTTGGCCTGGAGTCACACCACGATGGCGGGGCCATCGGCAAACCTGTTCAAAGGGACATTTGGACGGATGCAATGTGGAGTCACTCATCTCTTAGCATGGTAATGAAGGGAGGGACAGGCTTTTTGCACGGACCCGCCTCGTAGGGACTGCTGGTACAAGGTACAAAACAGAATCTATTTCTCTACACCTTTTATTATTTAAAATGTGTATGGAGGGCTTACATCAAAATTACAGGCGACAATTAGTATAAATAACGCTTTAATCAACGGCAGCAAAACATTTGTAAAGTCTGTAAAACATCACACTTTAACAGAGACCAGAGTATTGCTGGGCAACGTGAGCATTTAACAAAGGCTTCGGTACACCATGTTTCATCCATGATGAAAATAAGGGGTTCCCTCTCCCGCATAAAACGACCCTGGAAGAAGGTTAAAAATCCTAAAAAATAAATCTCGGGTTCCTTCTCCACGGGAGATAATGGCCAGTGGGTGCTCCTGGTCGTTATTGCCCGCATTCCTGACCCTTCGGAGCATTGGCAGCTGGAATCCATTTATTTGCGTTGGTGCTTTCTGCCCCCAGCTCCCATATTCCCGGGGCTTACAGAGCAATGACAACTCTGTAAACTTGCGGTGCCCCGGCCTCGCTCAAAGGGACGTGCAGAGGGCTATGGGAGCCGCGCCTGCTGAAGCCAACACTCGTCCCGGAGATATTAACATTTCAAAAGGCAATGAGCCAAATTCTGCTCGCAGCTACATCCTTGTTTGACTGTAGTGGGCGGGGGAAGGAAAGCTGGGAGCAGAATTTGGCCCTTTAACTTGGGGAGCGATCTCTCACGATAAGGAGCACAAAGCGAGGTCTGCTTATCCCGGGACATTATTTTCCGGCCTGGCACCACAGAGGCCAAACTTGGTATCTCCCCCCTGAATACCGCGGTCTCCCCGCTCCGAGCCAACTTGTCACAGACTTTGAGCGAGGGCAGCGGGGGGCCGGGAGGGGTATTTTCAAGGGGAGCAGCCAGAGAGAGGGTTGTTTATTTCTTGCTTTCTTTTCTTCTTCTTCTTCTTCTTTTTTCCTCCCCCTTTATCCTAGGTTCGCATGAAGAGAGAAGGGAGGGCTTCGATCAGCTCCGGAGACGAAACGCAGGAATTGGATGGAACAAAACTTGAAAACTTGCCTGAGGAATTCCCTCCCCAAGCGCCGCTGCGATCTGCTCTCCATGGCAGAGAAAGGGAAGAGCAGTTTGGGTCCAAAAGGTTAAGGGTTTAGAGGTCACTCTTCCCGGCTGAAATACAACTAATCGAATAGAAAATTTGTCCTCTGGGTGAACCTGTTCCTGCAATTTAGCCGAACTTCAGTAAAATACCTTTTCAGCTTCTCAACGTGAAGGCGTCAGAAAAAAAGACGTCTTTACTATGTATGAACTCCGCGCTTTTTGTCGTAGAAACAATGATGCGAATAATGCGGGAATATCCATCTTTAATATCACGACGTGGAGATATTCAAGTATTGCCATGTGCAAGTCTGAGAACTGGGCTAACCCCGAGGAGGAACAAAGAGTTTTCTCCGGGCTCTAAAACAAAAGAGCAAGTCTTACAAGACACTGTGCGGACTACTAGGGATGAGAAAAGGGCAGAAATTAACCGCTGCCCATAGTTAATCCCGCCGAATGCCCTCGTTTTGAAAAGCTCGCCCTTTATTTTCGAATTTATTCATGCCCGTTTTTGCAGTGTTTTCCCGAGTGAGCTGGGGAAGCAGCGAGTCCTCGGTGGGAAGCACTCAGCCCAGACACGAGCACTTTAACTTACACCGATGTTTCAACCTCCCTTTACAGAAGTGCATCTTCAGCACTTGCTCCGGCTTTCCTTCTTTTCCCTTCTCCCTTTAATAATGCGATCATCTAGTTAAAATCTCCATGCGATGGTCCCTCTTCCAGGCTGCCCTCGGGGAAGGGAGATAAGGGCTGAGCTTAGATCGCACGAGCAGGGTGTAAAGGGGCAGGTTTGGCTGGGTTGGGACTCAAAACGCAGGCTCAGCTCACTGCAACTTTGGCACGATACGAGCAGCAGCCATAGGCAAATACGTGGTTTAAGAGCAGCTCTGCTCCCGTGCAAACCTCCCCTCCTTCCCTCGATAACTTGCTGAGATTTCCAACAGTTTCAGCCATGTGTCGAGGGTTGCTTAAGAACAATCACCGCCCATGTGAAAAGAACCCGAACCAAACCTACCCAACAAACGTAACGTAGACCAAAATTAAAAAAAAAAAAAAAAAAAATCTGAATAAACAAAGCACAAAACCGAACCAGCAACCCATACAGCCCGTCCCTCTGTTGGGCAGAAAATAAATCTAAACCCAGCCAGAAATAAGGCTTGTAGCTTTGAGCTCTGAACCATCCCAGAAATCACATTGATTTTTCACTCCGGGGTTTTCTTTGTGGTTTATTTTTGCCTTTTAAATGACGTATTGCTGGTTAAAAGTACAGCGCCGAGCAGGGCAGACTTTGGGAAGAGATTTCGAGCCCGTTAGTCCCGGTGGCACACGGTAAGGAGCAGGGACGCTTCTCCACAAAGGAAGAAATGCATAAAATGGGACCAGAAAGTTGTGTACGTTCAAGACAAGTAAACATCATACGCGGGCTCGTGAGACTGGGAAGTAGAGATGCATTTCAGCCCTTTTTCCCATTTTTTGGTTTGACTTTTTTTCTTTTTTTCTTTTTTTCTTTTTTTTTATCTTCACTCTTCTACGTAACAAATAAATAAATACGCTAACACCATCAGGACACAAAATAACCCGTTTTCACTTAATTCCTATGCACAGCTTCTGAAAATTATGGAAATGAGCAAGTAATTTTCATCACACCAAGAAAGGTAAAGCAGCACAAAAAAAGTTCACAATCGTGAGTCTTTGTGTTCAAAAAAGGACTATGCCATAAATGTCCTGTCCTCAACTTGCCCCAAAAGCATCGCACTCGCTGCCTGGGATAAAAAGACAATTAAAAGCAAAAATCCCAGAATAAAGCATCGAACCTTCACTTTCAAATCCAAAACTGAAACACGGGACAGTTTCATTTTCAATGATTTATTACTTTTTATGGACAGAAGGTCTCGTTTAATATTTTCCCAATTCCTACTGCCTGTATGATGCTTTTTTTTTTTTTCTTTCTTTCTTTCTGTGCTAGCGAGAGGCAAATAAAATAAAAGTCCGAAGTAGCGTCATTTAGTCTCCTTTGTACCACAGTACCTTATGGAAAGATGGCAGTTTCTCGACTCCTTGGCTGCTACACGCAGGTTCTGCTTGGATAGTGTCACTTATGTACAGTACTGGTCAGAATCGAAGGATGAAATGGAAAATGTCACCTCTTCTATAAAGTTGTCAAGTCAGTCTGATGGTCCTTGGGAATAGTCTGTAAGTGGGGGTTAGAACCGGAGGAGGAAGACCTGCCCTTAGTGTTGGGCAGTTTGTGGTCTTTTTTCCACTTCATTCTTCTGTTCTGAAACCAGATCTTGATCTGGCGCTCAGAGAGACACAAAGTGTGCGCTATCTCGATACGGCGGCGCCGGGTCAGGTACCTGTTAAAATGAAATTCTTTTTCCAGTTCTAGGACTTGCTGCCTGGTGTAAGCTGTTCGGGAGCGCTTAGGTTCCCCTCCGCTGTAATTGGGGTTCACTGGGAAAGAAACACGGAGAACTTTACAGACCGAAGGGGGACTTTCCGCCTCGCCTTCCCACGCGGCCCCAGCGGCGCTCCGGCGGTGCCCGGCGCGGCCGTTCCGCGGGGCCGGCTGCTACCGCGGCTCCTGCGCGGAAGAGCCCCGCACGCCGACGGCCTATTTCCTCGGCAATAAAAATTTATGACGAGTGTAATTGGCCGCCTCGCCTTAAAGCCTCGCCAGGGCTCGAGCGAGCATCCCTGAGGACACACGCGGGAGCGGGGTAGAAGAGCAAAGTAAGAAGAGGATCCTTACCCGAGTTAACATGGACTTTCTTCATCCAGGGATAAACTACTGCTGGCTGCTTAACTGCTGACCCGTGGGGGGCTTTGAGGGCTGGCTGCTGGCCGCAGGCTCGGGAGTTGGACATTGGAGGCGGAGGACAATGCTCGGCTTGGCCGGGGAAGTGGCTCGGAGGGGCGGACTGCTCCTGTCCGTGACCCCGCGGCTGCACGGCGGAGCCCTGGGCACCGGCGCAGCCAAAGGGCTGCTCGCTGTAGTTTGACCGTGGGTAGAGCCCCTGGTGCTGGAAATCGGAGCCCTGCGAGGCCCCGTAATACTCGGCCCCCTGTTCGCCTAGGTAGCTGCTCTGCAAATATTCCTCGCAAGGAGGAAATTTGGGATCCACATACTTAGAGTTCACCATATACGAACTCATGGCCATTAATTTCGGAAGGTAGAAAATACTAATTTTTCTCGTGTTGTCTTTTTTTCTCCTTCCATAGAGCCCTCCTACTTGCTGTCAACTGAATAAAGTTAGGCGTGCATGTGACCGGCCCGGCCAATGGGGAGGCGGGGAGCCGATCACCGGATCTGTGTGCGCCTCAGAATTTCCACGAATTTAACTAAATAATATACGCGGAGCTGAGTGACCCCTCCGTGCCGGGGTTCGCCCTCCGGGGCCGATCCCGGAGTTTTGGGGCCATTCCCCGCGTGCGGCCGCCTCCCTGCCCCCAGGTGCGGGCAGCCTTTGTCTGAGCAGAGCCCTCACCTCCCCCCCGCTCGCCCCCCCCCGCTCCATCCGCCGGGCGGGATGGCCGCCGGGCTCCGGTACGAATAAAACCTCGAGAGAGATGCGGAGCGAGGAGTCGGAGCGGGACTTGAAGGGAGGGAACCGATAAGGAGGCGAGGAAAAGAAAAGACATCAAAGAAGAGGGCAATATGATGTACAATAGACCTGTCCTGTCTTTGTCTCGCAGAGGTCATCCAAAAGTTACCAGAATTTCGTTCTGCTGAATAAAATTAGGCAATCAGTAACTTCTCATTCACTTTTCGACCTCAACACATACGTGTGCACACGTGGGCACACACGCTCGCTCGCACACTCACATACAAAATCTGTGCGTGTGCGTACGAAAGCATCCAGATAACGAGAAACTGTCCACTTTCGGCCACCAAAGTTCAGCCAATTGCACTGAGACGGCTTCTAATTGGGTTACAAACATCACGGGTTTAAAGAGAGAAATTCAATCCTCGCTCATCAACATCCTTCCTGGAGCGCAAGGAAATACGTCCCAGTGAGTCGAGCGCTGCTTTCGCCGCTGTCGTAAATATTTGGGTGAGATTTGGACACACGACAGGGAAATTCTGGCAGCGCCCAGCACATCGGGCTAATTTATGGGGCTTTTGTTAAAGATTCGCTCACTGATTGGCAGACTTCTTTTTTTCTTTTTTTCTTTTCTTTCCTTTCCTTTTTTTTTTTTTTTTTTTTTTTTCCTTTCCTTTTTTTTTTTTTTTTTTTTTTTTTCCCTGCAATATTTTTTAGATCTCCTGAGATAACTCGTTTAAATCCACACTCTGCCAGCGGGAGGTAGGGCTGAACGACCAGGGGAATTCTCAGAGACGTTCTAAAATCTGCTTAAATGGGAGATAGGCGGCAAAACTTTGGGGATTTCTCCGTGTTCAACACGCACACGTCTTTTGGTTCCGTCAGTGCCCAAACCCCTGGCCGTCTGCAGAAAGGTGAAGTTTTTGCATCGACCATATATTCCCCTAGAATCGAATCTGTGACTATATGAATATCACACAAATTCGGTTCTACAGGGTATATATAGACAACGTAATAACGTTCTGTTTTCACCTACCCTACAGCAGCTCCCTGCAATCCTTACTCCTTACTGTCTTCTGAGGAATGCCAACTACACGGTGGGGACCGAGCTCAGAAACACGGCTTTGCAGGAAGGTGGGAATACGGGAAGGATTCACGGCTATTATTATTGACGAAATGAAGCTTTACGACTCTGCACCAACTGATGGTGACGAATTTCAGCTAACACATCCTCACAAGACCTGCTGACGGCTTTAGTGCTCGCCGTTTTCGACCTTGCTACAGAAAACGGACATTCCCAGTAAAAAATCGCTATTTAGAATGTTACTAGTTAAAACCTTACAGGAAATAAAGCGTACACCTATTTGTCCTGATACGAATCTGAAGGCATTTTATCTAGTTAGAATTTTCCCACTCGAGGGAAAAAAAAAAAAAAAAAAAAAAAAAAAAAGGAAAATAAATCGAAACAGAAGTGAAACAGGCGACAGCAGAGACAGCGATGGGTGAAAAAGACGAGGGTAGAGCTGGGGTGAGCGGGTCCGGGGAGCGGGGGGGCTGCCACGTTTACCTTGGTGCCATTCTGCTGCTCTATGCGCAACATCATCCCGCGAGAGCCGCAGCGCGCACCCTCCCAGGTTCTCCCGCGTAGCGTTTATGGTGAAGGGCAGGGCGAGAGGTCATCCCAAATCATTTGCAAACACATCACCAACTTTCATTATTTTTACTTTGCCGACAGCAGCACACTAGAGTACAAAAGTTCACGAATTGTGCCTGACCCAGCTCCTCGCTGCTGTCCCTCGGTCAACCTCTTCTCCTTCCACTATGTGAAACAGGCGACATAAGGGCAGATAATGGTGGGGTGCGACACATCCAGGCGCTGCGGAGGGCGGATTTGGGGCTGCTGCGTTCACCCGAGCGATGAGCACCGCTTTGCTCGCCGGGCTCCATCTCGCAGCTGCCTGAGCTGGGGATGCCGTTTGGAAACAGCTG